GGCGGGGCATTTTGTGAGCAGTGAGTGAAGCCTCGAAATAATATCGACCAGTTTAGCTGCACGCTGTAGTGACGTGGCGCGGTCGGAGACTCGCCATCTTCGAGCAGGGCGAGAGTGGTTTAAGCGAGGCGGCGGTTGCCTGCCCCCGTGGGACGCACATGTGCGCTTCATCATCGGTCGACGACGACCTTGCACCCCGAAAGCCCGATGAAAGAGAGACCTCGTTAAATGCGTGCAGTGCAGCCTAAGCACGTCGAGCACGAAGAGATTGACTGGCCAACATATCATCAGGGGGGGGCGAGATGTAAATTCACATCCTTACAGTAGGACGTGTCCCGTCATTTGATTGTTTTTTTTTTTTTTACAATCAGAGCACTTTGTGGGGCCGGGCTGTCGTATCATGACATCGTACGCTGTCGTCGTCGTTTGGCGTAACGCAGGGAAATAGCACAGCCAGCAGTAGAGGCAGTTTCAAGCAGCACGTCATTGCTTCATTTTCGTATTTAATGCATTGCAAAGCTTGCTTTTCTTTCGGGCACGGCTAACGTGGGAAGGGTGGAGGCAGCGGTGAAAATATGTCCCCTTTCCCTAACAGAAAACAACCCTGCGCTGGCCAACTCTAGGCTCCGGAAGGGGCTAACTGTACGAGTATATATGCTCTCGATATTCACCTCTGTCGCGGCCGCTGGATAAAAAACAAAAACAAAAAACAAAACAAACAAGTGTCTCTGTACTGGTTAGTACAGCGTACTCCAGTAAAAGGTCACTTGAAAGATACATGTGCACGTTCACTTTTTTCTCCCATGTGGGCGACAAAAGTAATTTTGAGCGACGAAATGAAAGCTTAAATCCGCGTTTCATGATAAAAAACAGGGCTCATTTTAGCCAATACTATAGACACACCTATTACTGAGGTCACGTGTGCTTGGAGCAATGCCGCGTAGTGTACGCAAAAACTTACGACTGCACATAGGAATTGGACAAACAAGCCCCACAACATAGTTATAACCGAGTACAGCAGGGGCGAGAACATTAGATAGAAAGAACGGTGGGGACTGCTGAGAGATGGAGGAGGGCGAGAATAAAGCGGCCCGACTAAGTGGAAAGGCGGGATTCGAACCAGCAGGGTAGTCGCGAACCGAAGGCAAGCGCTGTAACCACTCGGCGATAGACGCGGTAGTTCGAAAATCATTTATAGGAACCATATGGTCCTGCATGGTCCTTTGTGACCGCAGTATACTGTAAATAAAATAAATAAATAAAATATGATTGCGTTGCCATTGGCAGGAGAATAAGAAAAGGAAAGATGGAAAAAACGAAATACAGTAAGAGGAACGGATAAAGAGAAAGTAGATCATAGTCATGTATAGTGAAGGGGCGCGCGGCGGCCGGGCTAGCTGACCGCGACCGCGAACCGGCTTTCGGCCGAAATCGGCAAAAACAAAACAGCTTCCCGAAGGTAGGTTGACCGGATAGCGGGACCACAGTCCACAGCCGAAATATCGGGACATATGTCCCGCCTGAGTCGGGATGTCTGGTCACTTTAGTGGCGGACAAGTGTACAAAGTTTAATACGTTAGCTTTTTTTTTTCGTCTCTTTTTTTTAGCCAACATATTAGTGTAAACAAACCAGCTAAACCTGGCAACAACAACTGCACAAACTCTGAGATGGTGACAAAGCAAGCTGGCAATATCGTGCCAGTCAAATGGATCTTCTTTTTCTGTGACTGCTGTTTTGACCTCAGTGTTACTGATAGTACAGAGCAACATAGTTGAAGGTGACCATCAACTGTACTGCACATCGGGCGTGCTTATTGAAAGCTATTCACGGTTCTCTGTAACGACAGGCCTAGAAGACAAAGGATGGCGTCCTATTTTAATATAGTTTCTCGCTGTACGTCGCCGTACCGAGTGAGTGGTTGATGTATGCGAAGCGGCAGCGGCGATGACGTATTTCTGCGACGCACATGCGCTGAAGTTGTTCCGGACAACAATGCTGGCAGACGACGCTGTTGACAAGGCGTCGCCTCTGATCAGCAGCGTACTGGAACTACGTGTCATTATTACGGCACGCTGCTCCTCCGCTAACGCCTTGCATTAACCAACTACTGCTTCACGTCCGCTAAAAGGGGAGACCATTTTTTCATGTTTAGGAGTTTCAGGAAAAAAGAACAAGTGCCTGTTATTATATTTTTTCGGGCATCTCAGTACTACGGATAAGGTTACTCCATCCATCCATCATTATATGTAAATGCACAGCATCTTTCGTGTAGTCTGACGTGTTGCTTTGTGACCCAGTGAGCTGTTACGAGAGTGACTTATATCCATTGGAAGTCAGCCCGGTGGCTTAGAAAGTCTATCTCACCCTTTTATGCATTCTTGGAGTACAGGATAGTGTATAATACCGGGAACAGGGCAGCAGCAATAATAATAATAATAATAATAATAATAATAATAATAATAATAATAATAATAATAATAATAATAATAATAATAATAATAATAATAATAATAATAATAATAATAATAATAAACTTACTTGCCTTAACAGCTAGCGCAAATTTCTCAGAACATCATCCTTGCATCCTCGCAGGGGGCATCACCAGGGAGATTTTCTACCCCCTCCCCCCATTTTTTTTTCAGTTTTAATTGCCTATATATGCGCACACACATACAAAGAGTCGTACGAACATGCATAAAGTAGTTGACCCGCCCACCACCTCTGAAAAAAAAAAAAAAACATTTATGACTACGCTTCTGCATCCGCGGGCGCATGGGGCAGAATTATAGTGAACTTAGAATTCTAGTTAACTATTGGCAGAATACACGTGTTTTTCGTTGCAGACAAAACAGAAAGAAAGAACAAGACGAGATACAATAGGTGCCGGAAAACCGCAAGAAGCAAACACGGGAGATCGCGGCCCGGCTAATCCGCTTGTGCATTCACGTAGGGCTTCTAGGACGACAAACAGTGGGCGCCTCAGAACCGCGTTCGTCTTCCATCGCGATAGCTGGAGCAAACGTGCATCGTCAGCACGGTGCGGTCCGCTAGATGTCCTGAGCGTCGTGCCGTACGGGTTTGGTTGACGAGATCAGCGGCGGGAAACGAAACGCTAAATGGTGGGCGAGGATGGGCAAGAAGTAAAAAAAGAACAAAGCTCTAAACAGATGCTCAAGTGCAGAGCGAGCGATTGAACAAGCGTCCCTCGCTCATTCTTCTTTCACCCACATCCTGCGAAAGAAGCGAGGAGGAAAGGCGACATCTTTTTCTGCCATTCATTATGTAACCCCCTCTCTCTCTTTTTCAGCGGTGCCTTTGAGTACGAAAGCTGGGCCCTTTCTCTCGCAGGAATCTCTCGGAGGGGAGGGACCCTGACACGGGGGGCATTTTTTTTTCTTCTTCTTAGAGCTGCTCTTCCACAAATGCTCGCAGAAAGAGGCAACACACAGCTCTACTCTTTGGTTTATTCTGTGCTCGCTCGGATGGTTGCTCCTCCGGCGTCGTGAAAAGCGATCGGGGACCCCCGTTTCTGAGAAAGGAACAGTAGGGAGGGGTGGTGGCCAAACGCCGGCCATTATATATTTTCTTCTCGCGACAGTTCCCGCTGCTTCACTCTCTCTCCTACCTCTCTCCCACAAATGCCGCGTCGCCTCCTCGCCCTCTTTCCACGCGAACGGGCCCGTCCCAAGTGCCGTCTCCACTACTGGGCTGGGAAGACGTGTTTTCTGCCACACCGGTGACGGACTGTGTTTTCTCGTGCGTCGTTTTGACTCCGCAGAAGAAGAACGCCGGGTGCCCCCCTAACCCTCGCCTCATCTCCGCTGTGACTACGCACGTTGACATAGCTCCTTTGACAGCCAACGCTTGCGTTGTGATCTGTGCGATTTTGACGTTGTTAATTCGGCGTTAATTTCCTGTGCGTCCTCTGCTGGGAAGAAAAAATCGTCTGCGTTTTTTTTCCAGGTGCTTTCGTGCGCGAATCGTGAGGCTCTGTGCGTGTTTGTGAGTGTGTGTCGCCGGTCTCCGCGACAGCCGGCTGATTGCGAAGTCGAAGGATTCTCGATACACGATCGATCGATCGTTATTCCGAAAGCCAAGGTACGTTCTCTCTTTTTTCATGCGCTCCCGCACTCTCGAAGATGCGGCCGCCCGCCATAAGATCGTAACAAAGACGCGTCCTCGGTTGCAGACAAAGCGCGCGCCTGTCAACGCCGCCACGTTGGTTCGTCTGCTAGAGAAAGAGAGAGGAAGGTAGATGTTGTCATACCTGACTCTCGCCGGTTAAATTAGGAGAACGACAACCCCGATGTCGTCAGCTACGCTTTATTTTCGCTTCTCTCTCATTTTCCTCTCGTAAAGCAGCGAAATCGGCTTGTTGCGAGAGTGCGAATCCCGTTGTGGGAGGTGTGATGAGAAAGAAAAGTTCGGTGCACCGCAGCCGGCATGGGACGTGCACGGGGGGGCGCTTGTGCGTCAAAGCGATCGAATGCACCTTTTCCAGCGACCACGCGCGCGCGTCTGGGTCATAGAGTAAACTGGTTGTCGTCTGCTCGCTTTGCGTGCAGACGAGTGCGTTTTTTTTTTTTTTTTTTCGATTGCGCTCGTCTTGCGAGGCACCGAAGCTTACAGAACTACGAGTCGGGAAACGAACGGCTGTTCTCGGACAGCTTCATGGCAGTGTAAATACTTATCAATGAAATAAATCACAAAAGGAGAGTAACCGAGCGAAGAAAACCTCTCCTTGACAAGAAGTCGATGGAAAGCGACATTCTCAGTGTTTTGCCGATAAACGGTTTCCATTCTAAAGGTCGTGCCTGTGAGGGGATTTCTCCGGCTCACCAATATAGGAAGACCAGTACACCTTACATTTTTTATAACTTTCGTTGTCTTTTTCGCTTGTCCAAGCTCAGCGGACATTTATTATTGTTATTATTATTATTTCGTTGGCTCCCGTACAGTCAGGCAATCTGTTTTCACCTCGATCTTTGCAGTTGCCAAGTGTTTCGGGTACGGGCGTACTGCTGTCTCCGAGACGCGATAAACAACAGGCTCCACGTGAGAGAGTCCCAGCGAGCGCTACTTCAAACCAAGCGGCGGACGTGCAAGCGACGCACAGCGCAGACTCGGGAACCCGTGGAGCAAGCACGCCAGCAAGCAAAGCGAGCGCTAGGCCTAAAGGCGACAGAGAAAAGCGCACGGCAGACGCGAGCAGCGCGGCTTGACGGGAAGAGCGAGCCACCGCAGCACCTCCTTCCAACCACGGCGAACGATTCATGGCGACCACCCGCTTGCTGAACGGAGCCCCAGGACTCGTTCAAAACCCCGGACTCGACCTCATCGGCAAGGAGAAGTCGTCGGCGGGGACCCAGGCGGACGCCTACTACAACGGTGCCGTCTCGTACGAGGCACTCGGCGGCATCGACCCGAAGGTGAGTCTTCTCCACTGTTCTCCACCGCGCGCTAACCTTTTCGCAGCAACGTTCCACTGTGTCGGGGTACGAAAAATGTGTCCGCCACCGAGGCAAAATCGCAAACCGTGTCGCTGCAACCACTCTCCCCGTTCTTTTTTTCCCAATCGCGACTGTCCCCGAGCGCCTATCACCGCGTCGGCAACGCGCGCGGACGTTGCTGCAGAGTCCACTCGCGCGATTCGCGGGTGCGTGCTTTCCGGGAAAGCCCACCTCCCCACTCTGCGACGCCGATCGCATCGATCCTTCTTTGTCAGCCCGACGTGCGCAGCCAGCGTGGAATGAAATAAAGAAAACACACTTGGCTAGCCGTCACTGTCTCGACCTTTTGTATAAGCGTTCGTCATCTGCCAGACAACGGTAGCCTGGCGTGAATGGCAGACGCGCGTCGCCTGCGGATCGTCTGCGCGCCAGATCGGACGGACAGACGCGCGCCAGTTATGACCTCTCCGAGAAGGGGCTCGCGTCTCGCGCGCGGTGTCAAAAGCCTTTAGGCTTAGCTGGTGCTCGGCGTGGCTGCGATTACTATACGCTCTGGCTTCCCAGTCAAGGTCGTGTATGCCTCCCATCTTCACCGACCACCGCGATCTCCGGTCAGTCGCCCGAGAACCAAAAGATCGCGAGCCGAGCGCACCCTTGCCACACGCACGGTATGACGCTTGCGGAGCGATAATTTTTGTTACTTTGTGATTTCATTCCGCGCGTCTTCTTCTGCAATCGCATTCTACTACGCTTTAAAAAAAACAAAAACAAAACATCGCCTGCTGTTTTAAGGCAGCGCACGATGTACGATCTTTCCTCTCGTTCCGCGCGATGAGTTGTCGCGCACGTCACGATTTCTTTTTCGTCTGCGAAGCGAACATCTGCGAGCAGACGATCTTTTTTTTCTTTTTCGTCGCAGCACGCATCTGTCGCGCGTATCTCCCACAGCTCCGTGCACCTTGAAACTCATTCCGCGTGCCTGTAGTGATCTTACGAAGAGCGGACGCGACGTCGAAATAAACGGAGAACGACGGAAGCGGCCGGGCGTTTTCCTCTCCCGTAAAATCGATCCGTGTGGCCGCGCGGTCTTCTTCTCTCGCGTCCGCGTTTGTTTGGGGGGGCGTGCGCTGCTCGCGTCACACAGACCGCATGGCCCGCTCGCGTTTTGTTTTCATTCATTCGCTCCCTGCCGCGTAGTGAACTGCAGTCCGCCTTGCATACGCACTTCCGAACGATGTGGTTTCGGTTCGAATGACGTGTCGAGTCCGGCTCCGATTCTCTGTTTGGATCTTGTGGGGAAAGGAAAGGGGGCATCTAGGGGGGGAAAGGTGTTGCAGCTCCACTTACGTGAGACCTGGGCAGGGGCGAAGCAGGCAGTGTGCGCCTGTGTTTTAGCAGTGTGCTTTCGTCAGTGAAGGATTACAGCAAGTTTCAGACGCCAGCGCGGAAAGGAGAGCACACAACAAGGCTGGACTGAATAACCGAAGTTTGTTGCATGCGTAAAAAAAAAACAGCTAAACAACAGCAAAATCATCTCAACATACTAAGACGCTCATATTTTTCTCAATATGTACGCCTCTGCAAACGTGACAAAATAGTCGGAGACAACACAAGTACTCGAATATTTCGACATCTGAAGAAGGTGTAAAAAAAGAGAGAAAAAAGTGCATGCAGTGAAGTGTGCTTTACAGGAACAGACAACGGCACCATGGAGGTCAAGTGCGGCTCACGTTCCTCTGCTGGAAATTAGGTGCGCGCAGGTTGATAACTGATACTCTGTGTCACTTGCTTCGGCCATGTCATCTTATAAGGCGTTGATGCAATCACGAGATGATGTGTCAGTGGGACCAGGTTTCCCCACTTTTTGAAAACTTTCTCACGAGTCAGTGGGACATACATGCCCAATTTTTTTTCCAGTCAAGTGCTGGCTTGACTGATGAATTTTTGTTTCATGCTATTTCTTTGCAGTGTTTATCAGTACACGACAGCCCCTTTTTATATCATCCTGTCAAAAACATAGGCAAACCGTCGAAGGTCTCTACCGCGTGTCGTCCCGCATAACATCCCGCATAACATTTTTTTTTTCTTTCTTCTACTTTATCACTCTCACGTGACTTCACTGTACCTTCAATTGTGGGTGACGGCTAGTCGCAAAAGACGCTGCTGACAATCTGTCGTCTCGTGAAATATTCACCGAAAAAACGGGTAGAAATAAAGCTTCGCCGCGAGCAAGACTCGACGCTTATGCTGTAGGATTGCCATGGAAAGAGAAATGAGATGGACAAACCTGTGCGTGTGAAGGCTCATCAGAAACTCATTAAGCCCTTAATGCTTAAGTCAGCGAAGGAGAAACAACGCCCTTTCTTTCGCGACCTGTCTGCATAGCAGCTGTAGCGTGCCACGGAGTTAGTACTAAGCCCAGTGTTTCGATGCATTTGCGCCGAGTGCTGAATCGAACGGAACGCTATCCGACTCGTTGTTCGATATAGAAAACAACTTTGTTAGATATTTTCGTATGTTCGCATGCTCTCACAAGATCGCAAAGTGTTCCCAGGTGTCATCTTCATAGTACAACTTTGAGAATGTTGTGTGGGCCGAGAAATACATTGCCAAAAAAATTGGGAGCCGTGCATGCGAAACTTGGTGTATACGTGCCTAACCTTCGGCTATAATTAATTAAAATTGCATTGCGTCGTGCGATTGCATCGTCACTCACCCACTGGACAGCGAAGGCCTTGAAGTACAGAGGAAGTGTTGACTGCATAAGCGCCCTGGCATAGCTGATCACGTGGTCACCGATATATAGTCATAGTTAGGGGCGACCTAGCCCCGTTGTCCGCGTCCTTCACGAGTAGATTCGTGAATGTGAGAGACAAAAGAAATGTTTAACAATAGACTAATATGAATCGTAATTGTGACGGAACAATATAAAACGCCTATAAGCGCCAACGCTTTATGCTAGTCGGCGATTTCAACGTGCACCTTACGGACTTTATATAGGGCGTAGCTTTGTCGTCGAAGCTCACTGTCCGCTGTCATGGTGGTTGGAAAGCTATCGATATAGTTTGTATCTGAATAAAAAAAAAAACACAGCATATCCACGAGGTGAATGATGACGACCGGAGCCAAGCGGACGGACGGACTGGCGGACGCTTCGCCCCACTCATCATCATTCACTCCGTGGATATGCTGTGACACCGTTGTTATTATTGGCATGCAATGCAATGCAACTGGCTACTTCGCCGACTACGATGGAACTGGACGGAGGTTTCGCCCCTAAACAAAGGTTTACAATATAGGCGAGCTTTTGTAATTGTGAAGGAACAATGTAAACCGCCTACAATCACAAACCCTTTATACTAGTCGGCGACTTCAACGTAGACATTACGGTCCTTATCTATCACCTCGCTTTACCGGACAATCATCACTCTCTTTGTGATCATTCTCACTCCTGATGTTTCCCTTTGGTCATGAGTTATATGCCGGATACTGTCTGATTCCGCATGTTGTCGAATTCGCCATCTTGTCGACTCTGATTGGCCGAGAGGGCTCACGCGGTCACTCTGATTGGCTCTACCTTTTCCTGCGCTGCCCTCCACCGTCTTGGTATAGGGTTTTGGACAACCGATATCGCCGTGATAACGAAAGCCTCCGAGATCAAGTGGGCGTTTCGCGATTTGCCCGCAAGGGGAAGAACGCATGCGCCGTGGCATCGTGAAAAAAAAAAGTAAAAAAAGGAGGATACGCTTCACGCGCCGTCGTCGTTACGAATCTTACAATGCGGTGCAATTCGACAATGGTAAGAATAGCAACCTTCAGTCACTCGCCCATACCGATTAGCCGAACATCTTGTACTGCTGCAGAAGACATTGCAACAGAAGGCGACGAAAGCTCTGTTGAAATTCCTACGCGACACAGACTTGAACAAGCGACTGTAATAGCAATGTCACACACCGCGAAAGACAAGACTGGACTATGACTGAGTGTGAGCGCGTGTGCTGCCGAATGTGCTGTTTCTCTCTTCCCTCTCTGCTCTCTATCTTTCATCTCCCCCTCCCATGCGCAGGGTAGCAAACCGGCTGCCTATAGGCTGGTTAACCTCCCTGCCTTTCTTTTCCCTCTATTTTCCTTCCTTCCTTCCTTGTACTGCTGCGCTGCCAATCTCTCGTCCACAACTCCCGGAGTTTCGACCACCCGGGGTTCTTTAACCTGCACCTAAACGGCGTCTGTCGTGATCGTGAGGTGGTTTCGGGACGTCGAACCCCAAGAATTATTAATCCGGCGCCCAGGGGTCGTTCAGGAGTGGCACGCAGCAAGTGTATACCTCGTACGAGCGGTGGTATATACCATCTGTGGCCGTCCTTGCGTTCGACTCGCATCCGTCCTCGGCGTCGAGGTAGTCCTCGCTCGGAACCTTGTCGGATGCGGCGACGAGCCATGACAAACGGGCTAATGGGCGGACGTCGGTTGGGCAATGGCGTTGCGTTACAAGTATACATACACGAAGACGTCGTCGCTTGTCGCGTCTTCCGCGACCACTTGCAAGAGAACCGATAGTTTGGAGACGTTAGAGAGAGAGATATGACTCAGTCATTGGAGTTTATGGATGGAATGAGGCCGCGGTCGGTGTATGCACGCTTTCATTAATCTGACCACACTTATACTGTATCTTGATCATTGCATTACTTGTGTCTTTGCTGTGTCCCTTTTATATTATGTTATGTACCAACGTCAGTTGCATTGCCTTAAAGGTCATGAGATGACATTGAGTAAAAGGTGACACACAGCGACAAATTTCGTTGCTGTGTATCCCCTTGCTTAACGTCATCTCATGACTTTTAAGGTAAAATGAATAAGTGAATAAGAAAATAAATAAATAAATAATGAAGACGGATACTAAACATTGAGCTGAATGTTACACCCAACTTTCAACCATGATCTGTGTTGTGTGGGTTTATCATAGTCAACTTTGAACTGAC